ATTCCCTATGTATCAATTTAAAAACGTACACTGTCCAAAGTGCAGATAGCATGGATTTTCCTCTTGTGTCTTGCTTTCATGATGTCCCTGCTGTTTTATTGCAGTCTCAGTTGCAATCAGCATTGCAGCATCTCTAGCCATATGACATCTACATTAACGCATGTGAACAATAGTATTGCCAAACCTAAGTATGTTCAGTCCATTATAAACATCATCATCTATAATTACAAAATTGTCTACTGGTGATCATATCTCCCAAGGTCCTCAACTGTTGATTTTTTTCTCCACAGCCATAACATTATCCCAAAATGGATCCATTATAAAGCACTTACATACAGTGGTTTAAACCAATACTCTTTTATTCAGGAGTCTTAATACTGTAATGTCAAATTATATTATCGTTCTACCCCTACCACTGATTACTTGCCCTGGACATGTCCACCTACCACTGCAATGTCCAAACATGTGCACAAACTGTACAATAATAAAAAACAATTTAAAAAAAATGTACATGAGTTACTTCAACTTATATGCTGATCTGGCGCTGCACCCCAAAACAAAAGCTGAATAATTTATATTTTCTCTTTTTTTTCAGTCAGCTTGATTGCATAGTAGTATATTATGATGCTGCAGAGTGTTACACAACAGATAGACAAATTATTAAAAAAGATCATTCATTTGTATTACTTGTACAAAGATGAACATTTTGTTGCTGCTGTTCCAGGACTACTGCACTTTAGAGCAGGAAAAAACAATTGAATGAGTTTTTTTTTGTTTGTTTGTTGTTTGCTTTTTTGTGGTTATTGCTGCATGATCCAAGATCCAAGATAGTTACACAGCCAGGTACATGGACCATGATGCTGCTGAAACTGCAAGGGTCAAGATTATTGCTGCCTGATCCAAAATCCAAGATAGTTACACAGCCAGGCAAATGAACCATGATGCTGCTGAAACTGCTAGGGTTGAGAAACCTAAAAAATTATACTTTTGTTGTCTGCTCCTTCATTATTGGCTGCCCTTACTGGTTTATGATGTTTTTGTGTTCTGTACAAAGATGGCTGAGTTATAATTTTTTTGTCTTCTTTATTCTCAGCCTTCCTAACTATTCATTCCCTAAAGAAAGAAGTTTTTTTTATTGGCAGTTCTTCTAATGCACCTTACCTTTGGCTTCAAAAATACGACAATAAGACAATGCCCAAATACAAGAGACACATGGTAGTTCAGTAGGGCATTCTTTTTTTTCTCAGCACCACTCTCTCCCATTAAAAAAAAAAAATTAAAACCCCATAAAAACCTGTAGTGGGAACAATTTAATTCATGTTGACTAATCATGACAATATTCAGTGAGCTCTGAACAAAGGAATTGTTTACTACTTCATTCATCTATTATTGCTGTATTTTTCTAATTTTTATTTTCAACTTACTTCTGAACATGCATGGTATGATTAAACAAGTACTGTTTATTATTAATCCATAAATAACCCTGGAAAGCTTATTTATATTTAAGATTAATCAATTTATTAGAGATATTTAATTTCAAAATAAAGAGAAGGATTTCCAAAAAAAGGAAACTTGATAGTCAATATAGATTATTTTTTATTAATGACTGATTCCATTATTATAGTCATTTGCTATGTTTTTACATGCTGTAAGAAAAAAAAAACATTGGATCCAAAATGTCAATATATGGTTATTTCTGTTAAATATTTCTCATTTTGTTGTTAAGATAGCTGAGTGACATCATTATCGGTCCGTGCAATGGTAGCAAGTTCTTATTATGTGGTCATTACCTTAAAGGTCACCAAAAGGTTACACAAGTGAATTATGTCATCTCTGACATCTGATAAGATTAACAGTATGGTATAGGTAAGGTAGAGAAGAATTTGCAGAATATAGTCTTGCCACTGAAGAAAATGAAAGAACACAAATATAACACATAGACGATACACATGAGAATAAATGCACAAAAAGAAACAAAGGTATTTCACTAATCATATACAGTATATTCAGAGTAGTTGTTTCCAAGAGTAATACATTTAATTCATACAAATATGAATTCAGTAGAATTTCTTAGTTTTTGTGCACCACACCGTCATTAAACTTTAACAGAAACATTAACATTAAAGTAAACTGAGAAGAACATGGGCATTTAGGTATATGCTAAAAATATGATGGAAAAAATGCACAAGTAGAGAAATCATTTAGTGAAAAATACATGATTAGTAGATCCAGATGTATCAGCAGCTAAAGTTTGCTACAGAGCTAAAATTTTCCTGTAAAAATTTAACTTTTGTATGCCTTGCCATCTTCTGAGCCGTCATATTCATCTATTAGTTGAGCAGCACAGTGGCTAATTGATTAGCACTTTCACCTGGTAGTACTAGGGTTGTTGGTTTGAATCCCAACCAAGGGTGGACTGACCATTTGGAAACTCGGGCACTGCCGAGGGCCCGGGGTCAGTAGGGGGCCCCATGAGATGCCCCTGGTACCTTTTTCATAGTCTTTTTTGAGTTTGGGCAAGGACACAGGGGCCCCATGATCCCCTATTGCCCGGGGGCCCAATGAGTTGTCAGTCCGCCCCTGATCCCAACCATGGCATTACTTGCCTGGAGTTTGCATGTTCTCCCTGTGCCTGCATGGGTTTCCTCTTGGGTCTCCGGTTTCCTCCTACGCTCCAAAGAGATGCTGGAGTGTACAGTATATATATATATATATCTAAAAAAATATATATGTGAAAAAGCACTGCATAACATTGATGGTGCTATATAAGTAGCTGTAATAAATAAATAATTAGTGTGAAGTGTGACCTCACTGACCAGTCCTGTTTCACAAAGTGGGAGGGTTTGTAGGAAAAGTTTAAAATTACATGTAATTTCAGATGTCATTACCACTGTATCTGCTGATCATTTTTTATTCTTCATTTTGCTCACTTTGAAATACATATGTTTGTGAGAGGGATACTTTAAGTGTCAGTTCATGAAATACCTGTGCTTGCTACACTAGCAGGGGCGGACTGACCATTTGGAAACTTGGGCACTGCCCGAGGGCCCGGGGTCAGTAGGGGGCCCCATGAGATGCCCCTGGTACCTTTTTCATAGGCTTTTTTGAGTTTGGGCAAGGACACAGGGGCACCATGATCCCCTATTGCCCGGGGGCCCCGTGAGTTGTCAGTCCGCCCCTGTACACTAGTATCACTAGTGTGATAGTGCAGCTTGATGATTAATCAGGAAAAGAAGATGAGTCAGATGAGGATAACTGGGATTTACCTTTATGAAAATAAAGTTGGAAATGTTTCCACTGTGCATTTAAAACCTTTGTAAAGCTTTCTCTTTTTGTCAAAAAGCAAAATGTGGATGAAAATTGGACCCTGTGCTGAGGCAGTAAAGCAATGAAGACTGTTCATTTTGAAGGTTGTATTTTTTTCACATTGGTATGTGAATTTTTATTTAGAGTAGTGAATAAGATTAACCAGCGTTCACTTTAATAATCAAATGTTGTACAAATGTATGTTCAGGCAAATAAAAAACAACATGGTCCCCATTCAGAACTGCCTCTCCTTAATGCTTTTCACCAAACTGCCTTGATCACAATTGGTGTGCAACTGTACTATTTGACTTTATGAGTAAAGACCTTTTCATATCGGACAACAAAATGTGGTTCCCTTCATTACAATTTCTGATCCCTGATAGTCCACCAGATTAATCCCTTCCCAATAAAGTAAATGTATTAATAGGCACTCCTTCACCATCTCACAACTTCATCATTCTCCTGCAAATTCTGTGCCACCTCATCATCACATGTCAGCTGTTTCAAACTCATTCCTCACCCTCCATATTGGAGTGGAAATAACAAATCACTAGAAGGAACTGTAAATTGAGATACTTTTTTTTCACACCAGAAGGAACAGGGTTTACTAGACTAACAGGAGATGTGAATATACTCTATTGCAATAAACAGATTCATCTACTAACATACAGCAAGTTGACCACTTCACAGGCACACTGGGTCACAGACTGAACTATCTGGTAAAGTGCATGTGAGATAAACAACAAATACACATCTGTCTCCTGCCATTAAATATATACACATATACACCCTGAAGTTATGGGCAGCAATAGTCATCTATTAACATAGGAATACTTGCCTAATAACTCCTGCTTCTGGTCTGGAATAGCAACAGTTCTTCCATTGGGACATGTGGTATCAGCTCCTCTTCTCTCTCTCTCTCCACTTCCTCCTTCTGGAGTTTCTAACCGAGCTATGCAGGGACAGGAAGTGATGTGCATAAGCAACTTTGTCATATTAAGAGCAGAATTATTATAAATACAGAAGTAGAGGGCATAAGATTCCTAAAAGTAAATAAGTCCCTCTCCATTCAATTTTGCAGAGTGGACTCCTGGACTTGAACATCTCCTGTTTGTTTGTTCTCAGTTTTAGTGATCAATTTAAAGACACTCCATATAGACAGTCAAGACTATATGTCATCTGTCTTTCATTCTTGAGAACCCCCTTCCCCCCCGAAAAAAAAACCACACACAAACACACACACATCAAGTGTTAGGTGCTTGTTTAGTCTTAGGCAGTGGTGGTGAACCTATGGCATGCGTGCCGCAGCGGGCACGCAGAGCCCTCTCTGTCGGCACGCAAGCCAAGTCGCTCCAGCAGCCGAGCATCGGATAATGGCACACATGGGGCCATGCAGATACTCGGAAAGGAGTAGCAGCGCCAGGCAATGACATCATGAGCCATGACTCATTAGCCACGACTTGTCCAAGCTTTTGCAGTGCGCTGCCAAGGATATATATATTGGACTGGCTGTGAGTTTTAATACATTAATTTTTATTAACACAAGATTTTAGCTTGTGCTGGTGATCAGCGTAACTTTGCCCCCTTGTGCTGGTGATCAGTGTAACTTTGCCCCCTTGTGCTGGTGATCAGTGTAACCTTTCCCCCTTGTGCTGGTGATCAGTGTAACTTTGCCCCCTTGTGCTGGTGATCAGTGTAACTTTGCCCCCTTGTGCTGGTGGTCAGTGAAACTTTGCCCCCTTGTGCTGATGGTCAGTGAAACTTTGATCCCTTGTGCTGGAGGTCAGTGGAACTTTGCCCCCTGTGCTGGTGGTCAGTGGAACTTTGCCCCCTTGTGCTGGTGGTCAGTGGAACTTTGCCCCCTTGTGCTGGTGGTCAGTGGAACTTTGCCCCCTTGTGCTGGTGGTCAGTGGAACTTTGCCCCCTTGTGCTGGTGGTCATTGGAACTTTGCCCCCTTGTGCTGGTGGTCAGTGGAAGGTCTGTTATTCTGTTTTTCTTTTAACACAAAAGATGTTAATGTATGGGTTGTTTTTTCCAAACTAAAACCAGGTTTAAAAATTCAGGTTTAAATGCAGTGTTGGCACTTTGCAATAAATAAGTGGGTTTGGGTTGCAGTTTGGGCACTCAGACTTTAAAAGGTTCACAATCACTGGCCTAGGGGAAGTTTCAAGTGGAGTAATACTTACCTTATTCCTCTCCTCTACTCTCCTTTACTTCCAGTATATGGGTGGACCCTTGGGGATTTATTTACTAAAGCTGGAGAGTCCAAAATCAGACTCCCTTCTGCATAGAAACCAATCAGTTTCCAGGTTTCATTGCCAAAGCTTCATTGAACAAGCTGAGGTTAGAAGCTGATTGGTTTCTATGCAGAAGGGAGTCTGATTTTGGACTCTCCAGCTTTAGTAAATAAACCCCATGATGTCCTCAAGTACAAAGCAAAAGAGCTATGACTGGTGTAGAAGCACAGCTTTGTGGGACTGGTCTTATTTTGGGGAGAAGGTCTGTGGTAGTAAGGAATAACGTACGTATTTCACTGCTCTAAACCTCCCCTAAATGAAATGAGCATTGCAGGGGGAGAGGGACAGGCGTTTTAATTGTTGATCATTGAAAGGTTTATTATATGACAGCTCCAATGCTATTACTTGGAAAACATAGGTCCATTGTGCCTCTCCGAAAGATCGTTGGTTCCAGTGGTAGAAATGATTACAGGTACATGAAACATTATATTTTGGCATTGAATTCCTCTGCTGTAATTTTACTCAGTGCTGAGTGCCTGAAGGCTATGGTGGATGGAGTGCCTGCAAATGTGAGCAGGAATTTCTACATTATTCACAGCTATATCATAGCTACTATGCAGTAGCTAGCAGAACAGGCATTGCATTTAAATAAACAAGCCTTATGCAAGGCAGATCACTTGAGCCCCTTTAAGTTACCATTACTGGCAAATTATATGTTATAAATAAGATGCTTAGTCTCACATGTGCTGCATATATTAAAATCAATTCTTTTCTAGAATTAGCTGAAAGAAGTATATTTTATATGCTGCTAATGCACTGCATCCTGTTTGTATTTAAGGAAGAATGATTATCATTCCATGACATACTATTTGTACATCTTGATTACATTATATTTAGCTATGAACAACATTTTTATCATAATTATAGTGTTCTTCAAAGCTTTTGAGCTGACATTATTTTATTCAAAAAAGTGTCATATTAACTTATAAAACTGGTCTCAAGCAGCATTTCAATTTCTGTAATATGCCACAGATTTTATTTTAAGCTGATGTCTGTTTTTTAGAATTCCCAGATACGCTTGGCTAATTTGTTTTTGATAACAGGTGGAAATATGTAAAACAATTCTGAACCATTTTTGACATCTTCTCAGCAAGTAACTGTTACTTTTTCTGTTAACAAAGATGAGAGTCGAATTAATGGCCAGCTCCATCCAACATGACCATTATAGTTTTTGGTGGGCTTGGTTGGTTGAATAGTCCATCAGGTCATAATATCTCCCTGACACTCTTTTGAAATGTACCTTTACCAGTTTGTAATGCTTTTTAAAGACTACCTCCATACAAGACACGTTTTTTTTTTAAGTGGGCAAATAGAATTACCCATCAGAATAGGTCAGAGGTGTCAAACTCAATTATGCTGAAGGGCGACATCAGCATTATGATTACCCTCAAAGGGCTGGTTGCATCTGTAAGACTATATAAATGTATCTACTCTTTGTCATATTAAATAATTGTCTCTGCATTTGATTATATTGGTTTTAGACCTACATGAAGCCCACTGACACTCCTGTAGCAGATGATGCAAATCTGAAAAGGAGGGTTGCACACCACTGGTATCATCCAAAAAAAACTTTGTTGTTCAGACAGGACCAGGGGCGGACTGACCATTCGAGCACTCGGGCACTGCCCGAGGGCCCGGGGTCAGTAGGGGGCCCCATGAAATGCCCCTTGTACCTTTTATAGGCCTTTTTGGATGTGCTTTGAGTGTGGGCAAGGAAACAGGGGCCCCATGATCCCCTATTGCCCGGGGGCCCCATGAGTTGTCAGTCCGCCCCTAGACAGGACATGGTTCTGCCATGTGTCCTGTCTAATGCTTCATATACACAAGCAGCTGCTAAACTCAAGTTTAGGAGCTTTTGGCATTTTTTTGCCAAAGCTCCTAAACTCAACTCCATAAAAGCTTATGTGTCCATGTACACATAGGCTTTTAGCAGAGTTTAAGAGTCGCCACGTTTAGGTGAGGTTAAACCTCCCTCTCCAGAACGAGAAAAAATTGCGTTCAGGATAGGAACAATTTGACCTCCGACCAACTGCTGTGATGGTGTGCAGAGATGAGCCTTTCAGCAGCTGCACAGAAAAGCACAAGATCTGTGGGAGAAGATCTTTTCTCCTCTCTGCTGCTGACTGCAGAGGCAAGGTGGAGGCACAGATAAGGGGGGTTCAGCAGCTGCAGGAGAGGTGCTGGAGCCACATGAAATGGCCTGGTGGGTCGGATTCAGCACCTGGGTGTTGTGTTTAACAGATGAGGCATTGGTAGTATACATTATCTTCTTATCTCTTTCTGAGGCACCAATGGAAATTTGCAAATGATGGTTTGTGTGTCTTCCCTTTTCACAAAGATATGCTGAATTGTCAGCCTTTTGCAGATGAACTTCCCTATTATTTTCCACTTTTGCTTCCATTATGGAGAAGCCACATGAGGGGAGTGTGGCATTATCATTTAGGTTTTCGCTGGCTGTAATATTTAGGTGGAATAAGGAATAAGGATTGCTGATGAGATCTCTCTCCAGTGTAAAATAATAAAACAGGTACCTATCAAAAACATTGGAGTTGTATCTGTTGTTTTTTAAAATGTCAAATCATGTGTTGTCATTTTTATCTTCCTTCACAAATTACCCATTGTCATTGACATGGAAACAAATATGAACATATCATGCGTAAGACACCTAATATGTGTGTGGCTGCTCCAAGCTAGTGACTCAATAAGTAGTTAAAGCCCAACTCGGAACTCCCCTGAAAGAATCCCTTACTGAGCTCTGCAGTTACAAGCACTGTGAAGTATGTCATCTGCAAAATTTGCTATAGAGCGAATGGTGGCCATAGATTAGTCAAAATTTAGCTGGTTCATCAGGGACCGACTGAATCCGTTTGGCCACTACAGCTGAACAGAGGTTCAACTGTCCTGTGAAATGAAAGCCGCTCGATCAGCAGCCAATAGCCAATGGCTGCAGCACTGATTTATGTATTCTGAGAGCAGGGAAGTCTCTCTGCAGGAATCGGTTGAGTTTTTTTCATTCAGCTATAGAGAGAATGGTGGCCATAGCTGAGTCAAAATTTGGCTGGTTCAGCAGGGACCGACTGAATCCATGTGTGGCCACTGCAGCTGAACAGAAGTTCAACTGTCCTGTGAAATGAAAGCCGCTCGATCAGCAGCCAATAGCCAATGGCTGCAGCACTGATCTATGTATTTTGAGAGCGGGGAAGTCTCCCTGCAGGAATCTGAGTTTTTCCATTCAGCCCGCTGGCTGCATAAAAACAATTGAACCATGTATGGCCAGCTTTAGAGAAAATGAGAGCTTATTTTAAAGTGCATTCTCTGCTTATTAAGAATATGTAAATAATTGAAAGTACAATTCCTGGCCACAGTTCTTTTTTTTAGAAGAGGATATTGACATTTTTCGTTTCAGGGCCAGTTCACACTGTAATGTAGTGCAGGAAAGGTGCATTGCATGTGCATTTCCCACACCATGTTCAAAATGCACTACTTTCTGATTGGTGGAAGTTGCCAATACATTGTTAATGGCATTCCAAACACAGATCGCAAGTGCATATGGGCACCAGATCACATGGTACCACAGCAATTTGGTGTGGAGCATTTTTAAAAATTGTGCATGCACTACTTTTTTGTGCATTCAAATGAATTGGCTGCGAATTCACACTGCAGGGGAACAGGAATTACACAGGACTCAAGACCTTGATCTTGTATGATTCTTGTGTGAACCAGCCCTTAATCAGCTAAATACATCACAGGTCAATAAAAGCAAGTGTGAAAATTTGTCCATTTTGGTTTAGAAAGCCATAGTCTAATTAGAAAAAAAATGTACCCTACCAGCATGCTGCACAAAAGGACCCTTGCTCTCTGTCTACATGTTCCCTGCTGATTGGAGAGCTCTAGCTGTGACTCAACAATGAGTATGTCAGACCTCTGCAGAGAGGCCACTGCTTCGACAAAGAGTAAGGCTTTGCCTCTACAGCATGATGACATAGGGCAGGCTTTTGTGTTCACACTGTGTCTGCTTTCTAAAGAAAAAAAAAAACTTAAGATGTTTGAACACCTTTTGTTTTGATGTAGCTGGAATGTAATTAGCCAATTTTAAACTGGAAGCACAATTGGGCTTTAAAGTTTATTTACTGCTTTTGGGAATATAAAAATGTTTGAATGTCCTTAGACTGGTCACAATTCTCCTTTAATGTGTCCATTTTAAACACCTTGTGAGATTGCTTAGCAATATAGAATGTAATGCTGCTTTATGTACATTCTGAGATGCATTCCTCAAATTCAATGCAATTTGAATACAGCCAACTGCTGTCAAGGCAGACATCAGTGATATATCTCCCCCTGTATTACAACCATATAATCAACAAAGAGCAATTATTTTCAGGAATATAAATTTTCTGTCATCTGCTGTCGCCTCACTTTGGGGAAATTTGGGATAACAATTTTCAATATCCACAACACTCAGGACCACATAAGTGGCACATTTAAAAATAATTTAAAAATATGTGAACCCTCAACAACTCATTCAGTTTAAAAAAGAAATGAATGGCAACACATTTGTGTATACCTATAAAAAAAATTATAAATACCTTTTTTACCAAGTTTTTAAATGATCACATACCCTCTATTCACACCTGCATAAGGAACTCTGAGAGCTGGGGGAGGAAAAACAGCAGCACATTAATCTTCCCAGGGAATAGCTGTGGAGTGAGCATTTAAGGACAAGGCTGA